CCCTGGGATCTCCTGATGATGTGCAGGAATACATTGACATGGTCAAGAAGCATGCAGCCAAGTGAAATAGCTGCAGTACAAAGAAGTGCCTTACAATTGGACCAAACATACTGTGAAGTACTACTGTCTTAAGCTATTGTAGGAAAGCAAGAGAACCATATTTTCATTGTGTTTATCCAAAAGTAAACTGTTAATATGTGCAACAAAAATGCATTTTTTCCACTGTGGCATTAAAAGCAAAACTTTAAGGGAACAGTGTGCTTCCTCTCTCACCTCATAACTACACAAAATCCACCATCCACAAAAGAAGTTTTGTGTTGTAGGTAAAGTGGCCATCTACAGACACCCCCCGCCCCCAATCCCATTTCCCTCCAGGGCTAAAGAATGCCACAGCTTTTCTGAAAGATTTCTCCCTGCAGGTAGCTGGCTGCAGTTTCCTTGTAGATTGACTTATTGGGTCTTGTCAATACTAGAATCTTCAGTCCTGTTGCAACATTTGTAAATGTTAATCTAGATATTCCACAAACACTTGTTCCAGGACACAGATATTGTTCCTAGAGGTATCTTGAAAGCATGGATCATGATAGCTGGTGTAAAGCAAAGCGTGGTTTGTTAGTGAAGCCATGGAAAAGCTCTTTTGTGCCCCTCAAACAGCCATAAGTCCACTAAGACTGTCCAGAACCACTACCCTACTAATTGGTGAGCTCGTATGAGTGCTTCAAAATCCTCACTGTTTGCCCATCAGTCCCTGGATAGAGTGTAGGGTGTGTTTATAACCAATAAAGCCCTCAACAGCCTGGGACCATCCTACCTGAGGGAAGCATCTCTTCCTGCTGACCACAGCAGTGGCACAGGGACACGAGAGTGACACACACACCCCCAAATAAGAGTGAGCAACTGGCAGGGCATTCTGAGGGCTCACACTCTTTGGAACTTGCTCTCCCTACTCCCTTGGTCTGAAATAGTCTGAATTTGGTGACCTCCAGGTACATGGCAAGATGTGTTTGATACTGTTTTTGGAAAAGACTAATGGTATGCTTCCCAGTGGATTCCCAGATTAAATTGGATGTGCAAACGGGTTTTCTGTAGGTGTCTGGCTGAGTTCCTGTTGAAATAGCTCCTTAATGCTGCTGAGACTTCATTGCCTTATTAATGTTGGGGCTCTAGAGCCTTGGATAAGCATATTGTTTGTTTTTAAATCTAAACAGAGGCTGAGGACATAGCTCCTACCAGCTCTCTTGAGGATACATACAGCTTAGAAGTATCTCCTTGGTTTTTATATTTAAAATTCGCATTAGAGTGGCTAGCCAATCCATGCACATGAAACAACAGGTAGAAGGGGTACTGTACCTCTTAGTATTTCCTTAGCTGTGTCTTATGCTGAACTACATCAGGAATTCCTAGCTGGCCCATATCTATTTTTAAAGACTACACGCTGGAAGAAGGTAAAGGTTATAGAATGAAGGACAGTACTGCCTAATCATAGCAGTTCAGTTTTTAGATTAGGTAGTGGGGATTTTCTCTCTTTGCGGGTGGAAGGGCACTACAGACTGTCATTTTAACAAGTTAATGTTCAACATTAAGGGGTAGATGTTAGCTGTAAAGTATACGGGGCTAGTATGAAAGCTCACATGTTCTTGACCACTTTTTAAATTTGTTGTAACCATTTACAGAAAAATCTGCAAGATACTTATAAGTCCATTGGCAGAGTTAGCCATTCATACTGAATGGAAGTGAAAAGATTACTCTCACCAGAGTGTAAATCTTTAGCTGCAATTGCCCTACTGGCTACTCTTCTGCTAAGACATTGAAGAACTTTGGCATTTGGTGAAAGGTCATCAGCTCTGATTACAGCCAATATATGTAACTCAAACTACTAACATTTAAAATTTGGAGGGGAAAGGGGAGGAGAGGGTCCACGGATGTCATGTTTAAGAAGCAGCTGTAGCCCCCATCCTAATAGAAATGTGAATCATTACCACTTCTTTTGTAGTGATTGTCAGGCAAAACAAGAGACTAATCCTATCAAACTGGATCTTGACAAGGCTTTACGTATATTTTAAATTACTGTACTTTTCTATAGCACCTCTATCTTAAGGGCTGCTCAAGCATTTTTATGAACATAATTGCACACCTGAGTGGTTTTATTCCCCTCCCCCATATTAAACAGTATTGATCAATCACAGTATTAAACACTTATTTTGTCCACCAAAATAGCTTAAATACCTTCTCCTATGTGACCTTGTTCATCTTTGGCAGAACCACGAATAGGACTTAGATTTCTTGACACCCAGCCTTGTGCCTTAAACACCAGTTAATCCTGCCTCTTTGTTTCCACTCTGAACCCACTACTTGTCTACAATAAATCTCAAAGTTTGCAAGTAGAATCCTATGCGGAAATTAATGCAGTATTGTAGGGGTGTATAAGTGCTGGATTATTGCCTTTCATTTTATAAATACAAAGGTTACTGACATTTATTACCTGCTTTAAGATTTAATGGACTTTGCACCTGAAAGAAAAGATCAAATAATGGTTCTATTAGCTTCAACAACACCCTTTGAACCAACTAAAACAAATTTTTGATTAGAATTGTTCACTGAACTTTATCCCCATTCCAGTGGGGGGACAAATATAGATACATGGATTCTGAACCTAGGATAAATGGAACAGGTGAGGCGGATCATAACCATCCTGCCATTTCTGTGTTGCTAAATGGGCTGTGGTTGGATGGGCCCAGCAAGATTCTGGCTAGACAGGACAGAGGTTTAGGGTTAGAAGGATTCCAGTATGGAAATGGTTGAGAGTTGCTGCTTAATGCTGCATGTACAACTTTAACTCTGTCCCCTTGTGAATATGCAGTAGTTTAATCACACTCTTCCTCAAGTAACAAAATATTTTAGGTTTTTCTTTTCATATGGAGCTTCTTCAAAGAAAGAAAAGTCCTACAGCCTGGCAAAAGATGCTCCAAAATATCAGTTACTCCTAGTTTGACTCATGTGCTTTGGTGCTAGATGAAAGATGGAAGAAAATATTCTGGAAATTATCAACATCTTGGAGGACAGAGGTAACAGAGTTGATAGCTAGCACTCAAACCTTAAGGAGATCCATCTGAGTAACTCAATTTGCCACTCCATATGCTCTTTCCTTAGAGATATGACAAGAGCCCAAGAGCTGAAGTCTACCAGATACAGTATGCATCTATCCCTTACTCCTTAGTGTCACGTAGCATTGTCAGTTTTTGATTTTTAAAGGATGAGATTAAGAAGCTTTAAATTGTACAAAGATCCCTAATTTACGTACTGATAGTTGATCAAGTGAACAGGAACTTAAAATGCAACAGGTTAAAAAGATTTCAGTTGCAAGTCATTATCTAGTACTGCAGCTCTTCTTAACAAAAGTAAGGAAATGTAACTATAAAGTTCACAATTGGGGCTAACTTTTTCATACCATGTGCTTTTTGCATCTACACTCAGTTTGTCCTTACTATCTTATCTGTAGTGAGAAGAACAATACCATGTGTAATTAAAATGTTAATATAAGCTTGTGTGTAATTGTTAGGTTACAGAGCATCTATGCTATCAGTCCTATTTCAGTTGCATTTCTCTGTCCACACACAGCAATATTCTAACAAATAATACTGCTTAGCTCTTATATAGTGTTTTTTTCATCAGATCTTAAAGCACTTCACAATCATAAGGCTGTCCAAGCATGCGGAGAGTGTAATGCAGGTGCAAGTTAGTGCCTGTCTATATTAAAAAAGTTGCACCAGTGTAATAACATTGATTTAAAAATTAATCTAGTGACATTGTTGCAAAATTGTGGTGTATAGAAATGCTTAAAGTTTAACTTGCTCTTGTAAGTTATTGAATAAATAACTACTTAGCCATTTATCAGGCCTTAATTCACCAGTGCTTTTCACTTGCACCAGCTCTGTGATATTACAAGTTAGCATGGACTAAGAAAGAATGATAGTTGAACATGATCACAGCAGGCTAACAAGGAATATAAGACACCTCTAGAGAAAATTTGTAGCAAATCGATGTGTATATGCTAAGCATGTAGTGTCTAGTTATATAATTTAGCATGCCAGAACAGTTCCCATGAGACAATGAACTAAGCCTCACACTACCCATATGAGGTAGGTATTTTAAGTACTCCCCCCCCCCTTTTTTTTTTTTTTTTTTACAGTGACACATGTTTAAAATGTGATTTTTCAAAGGTGTAGTACTCTGCAGCCCTCCTGCCCCCAAGAGAGGCCATGCAACTTCCACTGACTTCCTGCACATTGTGCAAGTGCTGAATGGTGGTGGTGGCCTGTGATAGACTGTCTGGGGGCCCCTTCTGGCCTTTAGCGCTATGACTCTGAATGCCTTTGAAAGCTAGGCCCTCTGTGACCAGGGAGCTGAAGAAGCAGACCAAAGTGGGATAGCCAGCAAAAACCAGGTGCCTCCTGGCACTGATCTTTGCTGCCCAGCCCCACAACATTGTGGGAAAAATTTCCCGTTCAAAAACTGAAACTTAGCTACTGACCCCGCAGCTAAATTGCCTAGTCTGTGTTGTACTGGAAGCGAGATCACTAGTGTACCGAATTCAGAGTGCTCAGTGTGACGTGCACCAGAGTCTACTGCGTAAGGAACTAGCGTATCAACAACGCTGTTGCATATTTTCTCCATTTGAAATTTGTCAAGAGGATGTCAAATAAGTGAACTGATTTATCTTTCAGATGGTCAGCAGGGGCAAGATTTCATTCTAGTTTGTTACAGAGAGTTCCCCTACCTATCTGCTGAATGGCACTTAACTGACTTGCTAGCAAGACATCTATACTAATAACCTTTCACTGGTCTCCATGCAATAGGACTATAGTATTATGTCTGCAAATCACTAGATTAAATATGTGGAGGAGAAGGGGGAGGGGGTAGTTTTTCTCGTTCTCATGCTGCTTTTATGCACCCTGGGAGATCTACAGAACAGGCAGACTCTGCACAGCTATTTCAAGCATTTAAATCACATGGGCTCAAGAACAGTTTCATATACCGTGTCTAGGAAACAAGCCAACGGCATCTCCTTAAAATACAACAGCTACTGAGGAGAAGCAACATTGCAGGAAAGCAACTGGTTCTAACTAAAAAGATAAAAACTTTATTTGCCAACAAAGATGTCAGACAGAAGTCCCTTTGAAACGGATATGTTAACCCTTACCCGATACGTTATGGAAAAGGGGCGACGTATTAAAGGTGCTACAGGGGAGCTGACCCAGCTGCTCAACTCAATGCTGACTGCCGTGAAGGCCATCTCCTCTGCAGTCAGAAAGGCAGGCCTCGCCCACATGTAAGTCCTGTTTAGACATATGGGGGAAGGGAGAAGGAGGAGAGGGATTTGCCTCCACATGAAGACTGGGGAAAGGGCAAAAGTTTTGTGATTTTTTTCAAAAATTCACCCACTTTAAATTCAATAGGCCTCTTTTAAACCACGTAACTGAAGGTGTGAATTCTGAGCTCAAAATCTAGCAGAGGTTGGAAATTATGCATATGCCAGAAGGGGGAGTGTGTTTATGGAGGATTTTAAAATTGTTCCTGAAATGTCACCTGAGACTAGCTGTGGTTCTGCAAAATTTCAGTTTAAAAACAGTCAGATGAAAGCAAAACAGAAACCTAGTTCCATTATTTCCTGTCGTATTCATGTTATCTTTTTTAAAATGGTGGAACTGGTGTATTTTTAAGTCTTAGAAAATTTGCAGACTATCATACTTAGATATCTTCTGCTATCGTCCAAACATATTGTCACAGCTAGCGTCTGAACTGTGGAAAATCAGGGTTTACCTTGGGAATGCTGATGTCCATATCCATAACTACATTACTAACAATATAACGATTCAACAGCGCTAAGAGAAGGACATATGCTACCCTTCTTGTATGTATCCCACCACCCCCACCCCCCCGGGTGTCAAGGTCACCTGAAAGTGGTCTGTGGCCCTATGTGAAGGACAAACACAACCAGCTCGTTTGGCTTCTGGTCTATTAGAAGATGGGAATTGAGGATTGTCTTGGAACGGTCTGAAATGAACTGACCTGTTTTTCATGCATTGGCTCAAAATAGACATTGATGCTGGTCCTTCAGTAGCAACGTGTCAATAGAGGCTGGAGGCAGGAAGAGAAATCTAATAAAATGTATAATTTAAATATATTCTTGTATATATGTATGGTGTGTACGCTTAATTCCAAGGGTTAGTGATGTGGCTATATGTGTAGCAGAATACTCCATTAAGCAGTTTATTCCTCTATACTCTATGGCAGAGGAATGTCTAGTACTTTGCAAACTATGAATTAAGATTCTTGAATAAGGATGCTGTAGAAATGCAAAGGACAAACATCACAGCACCATGTGAGGAAGGTATCATTATCCCCATTTTACAGATGGGAAATATAATTCATAGAGCAGTTAGGCAATTTGCCCAAGGTCTCACAGTGAGTCAGTGGCAGACCCAGAAATAGATCCTTGACTCTCCTGTGCTGTAACCACTATCCCATTTTCCCCTCTCTCTCTTTTGTTGATATTAAATAAAGCCAAACTGTTTTCACTGACATGACAAAGGAAAAATTGCATTCGGAACTTTTGTGGCATTCCAAGTTTTAAACCCTAAAATACATAGCAAATAATATTATATAGATAAGAAACAGAATTTATTCTTAACCTAAAAGAGACATGACTAATGTTTCAACATTACAATTCCTCCCTCAGAATCGAAGCATCCATTATATTGAGGAAGGAAGGCCTCTTTTTGAAAAACAAAAGTTTCAGGAAATAATCCAGCAATCATACGTCCCATGGATATTATCAATCATGTCATACAATGAACCATGATCTTTAGGAAATGTCAGTGACAATATGTTTGAAATCAATCACTAGGATTGACATCAATTTATATTTTCAATGCTATCTTCACATGAAAAAGGGCTAGAAACTTTTTTTTTAAATGACAGATGAAGTTAAATAGGCCTGCCATTTCAAATTCTCCCAAATAAGAGGGTATGGCGTGGCTTCTTTCAAAAAGTCAGTGTTAACTTTTTAAATATTAAAGTTTTCTATTCACCAACAAAGGAGAAGATTTTGAAAGACACAGAGGGCAGTTAGGAGGCAAATGCCATTTGTTTCTTTGAAAATAAAATACTTATCATACATTACGTATGTGAAATCTGAGCAGATTATCTTGGAGTGGATACATATCTGAAGTCAGTTGTTGGGCTCTGCAACTAATTGTGAGCCTACTGAGCTGCACTGTCTTTATATCAACTAAATAAGTCTCATCTGTAGGTCATACATAATCATTTAATAAAACCACATACTGGGAATTATAGCAGCACATTGTAGCATGTCCCAACAATCTTAATAGTGAAATGTCACTATGAAAGACTTTAAAATACCCCATTTAGAAATCATTGTACTCATATTTCATGGGTCATTATTTCCCTTCCCTCAGCTGTGGGAGTCTCCAACTATTTCCCTCAACAGAGAGAGCTGCTGCAAGTGACAAAGTGCTTTAGAGCGACAGCTGTGGTAATGTTTTGTACATAAGCAAAGAGTGAAGCAATCAGATAGGGAACTCTGCTTATTAGCTTTAGCATCTGTTGGCAAACACATGAAAACATGACCTTTGTTTCACAAGAATTTATCTGCTCCAACCCCTTGTTCCCTGACTAATATCAGGCCTTTGTAAAGTCTGAATATTTCCAGGTGCAGCAGGAATTAGCACTGTGGATTCTGTTGGTGGCAATCTTCCCACCAAGTGAGAGCTGAACCAATTCCACAGAAATCCTCAGCATGGCACTAACAATGCATTGTGATGGCATAGCTTCCAATCCTATGCTGTGAGTTCAGGGGGTCTGCTCCTTCCCTATCGTGTTATATTTTTATTGTTATAGGTGCAGTTCCTTTGCCAGGTGTTGCTGCTGTGCAATGGCAGATGCCCCAGGGCGGCTCTAGTACACTCCTTGAGGGTATCAGTGCCAGGAAAAGAACCCATCAGGGAGAAAGTGATGGACTCTGGGGCAGTGGAGATGACAGCAGCAGGCCCCCATATTCTTGGGAAAAAGGAAAAGGAGGCAAAGGAGACAAAAGGAAGGACATAGGTTTGATGGGATCACTTCCCATCCCAATACTATACACATTAAAACAGCTGCTCCATTCCATCTCAGGGGTGGATGCATTTCTGTGATGAGTGAAATAATCCATGTGTGTCTGTCTTCCCCCTCACAATCCCCCGCCCAGCCCCGGATGTAATTTCCACAGCAACCACTGAAGTCGTCACAAACATTATTCGCAAAAAGAAAAGGAGTATTTGTGGCACCTTGGTTAGTCTCTAATTTATTTGAGCATAAGCTTTCGTGAGCTACAGCTCACTTCATCGGATGCATATGAAGTGAGCTGTAGCTCACGAAAGCTTATGCTCAAATAAATTGGTTAGTCTCTAAGGTGCCACAAGTACTCCTTTTCTTTTTGCGAATACAGACTAACACGGCTGTTACTCTGAAACAAACATTATTGTGGTAGCAAAATAAGCAGCAGGAACAGACATATATTTAACAAACAAAACTCCTGTCTTCAAGCAAATTTACCTAAAAACAAGGGGAAATAAATTTTGAAAATCTTCAAACTATAAGTTTTCCATGAGGAATCAACAACTCTTGCTGAAGTGCAGTCACTGATTGACTGCAAAATGGAGCCATCTGGTGGTATATATGGCTCATTACAAGAAGTAGAATCGCTTGCATGTGGAAAACATTAGTGAGGGATATTACCAAACTGATTAATTTGCGTGCCATTTGGGATCTCTTTAAAATTATGGCTAGGGTCCGATATAAAATTTGACATGAAACCTACTTCTGTTTTCTATAAAGGAAGCCTAAACCAACTGCAACATGTGCTCATTCTGATTTTAAAAAGCACAGTATGCAGCACATTTGGTTAAACCCTACTGACTTCAGCAATGGGAGCAAGATCAAATCACTTGGACGGCAAGTGAAGAATTCTTAATAAATATGCTGGGCTTGACGCCATATTCTTTGCACCTCCTGGTTACTTTAATCAGTGTTGAGTGCACAAGGAATACAACCATTTATCTTCCTGTGGGAAGCTATAACAGTGTGCCCTGCGGTCTTGCTTATGTTTAAGGGCCATGGTCAACAGTGAGGTTACCCAGACAAACATAGCTTAAAAATAAGTGGCCAGGATTTCTGAGCGTGACTAGTGATTTTAGGCATCTTTTAGGGGGAGGAGCCCTATTTGAGGCACCTTAAGGGAGCCCAATTTTCAGAGGGTGGGTGGCAAGCTGGGCACCCAAAAACTGAGGAACCCCAAGAACACTACTTAATTTTTGAAAATCTTGGTCAGTACTGTATTTAAAAAACAACACTCATCATGCTATCCTGAGGGAGTTGGAGAGGGAGACACAGAGGGAAGGGTTACATAGTTCCCCCAACAAGAGCTCCAACAGGGAAAAACACTTAGATTTTTAAAACATTTTTTTTTAAGGAGAGAGAGAGAGAGAGAGAATAGTCCATTTGAGGACTAGCTACCTGCCTTTTTTTAAAACAAATCAAAAAAGTATTTGCTTTATAGGGGAGCAATAAAATGCTGTCACAGGGGCTCTTATTTGCTTTCCTTGGTCTCTGAATCAGATAAAGTAAATCAAAAATTTATTTTCCGAGTTGAGAGTTTTGCCTTAAAAAAAAATTCTAACTAAATCTCTGAAAATAGGGGTTTTATCATGGAAATGCCATCACTGTCTAATCTAGTCCAATACATAGAGCTTCATTTTGAGGTGCAGTTCAGAGAGGGAGGTAGCTCAACGAGGTCTGTCAGGCTCTGAATTTGGGGCCTGGACAGGGATCTGTCCGGCCACAGATGTAAGTTAAAGGCTCCTTACTGGCTGGTCTAATTTATGGAGATGCTGAGTGGCTCCCCATGGGCTGCTCTGTGGCACAGAATAGGCTCTGGCCACACACTCTCCTTCCTCAAACAAGCCTCCATCCTTTGGCCACCTCCCCCAGCACTCACTTACAGCTGGAGCCTCGGGGGGGGGGGGGGGGCGGGGCACGACGGGGGTTGAGGGTGGAGGAGGGCCATTCCGGTGCCAGGGGTATTCCTCAGAGGTCAGTTAAGGTAACTTTATAGTGGCTGAACAGCCATGAAGGGATCACAGCAGAGCCCAGAACTGAAGCCACAATCTTTCCCTCTCTTGGGCAGATTTTCATTTACCACCAGGAATGGATATCTACAGAGATATTTTAAAGACTTGGATGTATGTGGGAGGTGTGGGGAGGCGGGGGAGATTGGCAGGGAAAAGCCAGGGTCACCACTTTTCTGAAGTCTTAATGTTCATGTCAAAATTTAGGCCTGTCTTTTTGCTTTGAGGTTTCTTAGTGTTTTCACTGCCATGTACACATCCTCTTTTCTTTAGGTATGGAATAGCAGGAACTGTGAACGTGACTGGTGATGAAGTGAAGAAGCTGGATGTGCTATCCAATTCTCTGGTTATTAACATGCTACAGTCCTCCTATGGCACCTGTGTCCTAGTCTCAGAGGAGAATAAAGATGCCATTATCACGCCACAAGACAAGAGGGTCTGTACATATGTCTGTGTTCTCTCATTTAGCAGCAGGTGGTGCTGTTACTCCAAGTATTGAAAAGAGGGTTTAGGGACTGTTACCTGTAAAAAAGCAAAAAGGCACAAGTTCCTAAGCAATAGCAGAGAATCTGCATATTATTCTACTGCTTAAATGATTAGTTACACTGGGTGAGCAGTTTTCAATAAGTAAGGAAGTCCTTGCAAAGGATTCATAATTAAAACTGGGGGAATAATTATTTGTGAGCATGTTAGTGAAATTGGGATCCCAATTCAATCTTATCATGTTTTGACCCTTTTCTGAACATTGGCATGACCTGTTTTTGTTTCCATGAATGTTTAGCCAGCACTATAAGTCGTAAAGTGCTACTCAGTTTGAGCAAGGGTGTCCGAACTGGGCTCTAAATTAACTACCCTAAGAGGACAAATGGCTACTTACTGGGATTCCAGATGTATGGAAATTATCTTCTATTATGATATCTCCTCCATTAATTTAACATGCAGTCCCACTAATTCTCAGTTCAGGATTTCGATTAGTACTCCTCCAAAAGCCAGCCATTCCTGCCTTCTTACCCTCAAGCCTCGCTTCATAAATCCATTCATTCCGCTCACAATACAATTGAAACAAAATTTGTTCAATAAACCAAGACACGTCTGGAACAAAACCGCTCAGTTCCTTTGCTTTCACACTATGCCCTTTCCTCACTCCTGATCTTTTGTGTAGTTACTCTGTCAGCTGTCTGGGCAAGCCCTTTCTCTCTCTGCATTTCGGTGATGTGCTATACAGACTACAACTGTACATTTGGTCTGGATTTGTCAAGGGCATTTGGTTATCTAAATGTAGTAAGAAAAAGATGGTGTTTACCAAACAAAGGAGAAAGATACAGCAAGTCAACATATTTAATGCTCCTCTTATCTCTCTTTTTAGGGTAAATATGTGGTGTGCTTTGATCCACTAGATGGTTCTTCCAATATAGATTGCTTGGCATCAATAGGAACGATATTTGCTATCTACAAGAAGGTACGTTGATGAACAAAACACACAGTATGATTCACCCAGTGAGAACAAAACATTTCCTATATATCAGCTCGTGTATGATTCACCCGGTGAGAACAAAACATTTCCTATATATCAGCTCGTTCCACTTTCATTCCCACTGTCTTACAAATAAACAGAGCTTTAAAGAGACAGCGATATAAATATACAATGAAGATATATTTACACCTCTACCCCGATATAATGCTATCCTCTGGAGCCAAAAAATCTTACTGTGTTATTGGTGAAATCGTGTTATATCGAACTTGCTTTGATCCGCCTGAGCACGGAGCCCTGTCCCCCCCAGAGCACTGCTTTACCGCAGTGAATTCGTGTTATATCGGGTCGTGTTATATTGGGGCAGAGGTGTATATCAAATAATGGGCTGAATTTTTAGGAAGAAGCACACTTAATTGTCCACATGAAATTCTTGGGCCACAGCACTTCCTTCTATATCACACAGAGTAATTAAAACAAAAGTGGCTTCTAATTATAAGGCAATTGGTTAGCTACATCAATCCTATTTACTCACTTCAGTGAGTGCTGGGGTTTGGGTGGGGACGGGATGTAGAGATGAGCAAGAGCCCAGTGTCAAGGTGCAGAACCAAACTTACTTAAAGTTAAGGGATGTTCAGGTTTGGAATATTGGTTCCTGTCCATCTCCACAACTCACAATGTTTGTTTTCCCACTAGGGAGCTACATAGAGTGGCAGCCATTTAACTACCAGCATTTGCCAACAGTTAGAATGATGTCAGTTCTCACAATTTTACTGCAAGTCTTGCAATATTTGTTGCTTTTATGAAAGCCTTAGCTCACAGAATCATATGATTACACGAGTCACTCAGTTCTCTCTTTCTTTTTTAAGTTTACAGCTCTCATGTTTGCAAAGAAATGCTTAAAACATGAATCCTAAAGGCTCAGAAAACAGAAGGCAAGATGCCATGATTACCTCTTACATTTAGAACAGGAATAACTATGTGGTGTCTATTGAATTTATAACCGTGAGCACCATATTGCAAATATTTAGTAGAACCCTCTTTGACCTTGCCTTCACTCCGGGTGGCGGGGGGGAAGGGAGTGTTCTTAACTCCAGTTAGCCAAATGGAGGTAAAATCCTAATGAAGACAAGGGAGTCTATAGTCTTCACAAGTTAACAGGCTGAGTTCAAGAATAAGCTCCCTCTTATATTTAAGTCCAGCTTATATATAAGTCCAGCTGCTAATTTGTGTGAAAACTACAATGGCTAATTGGAGTTAATACTCCTTTTTTCCCCAAGTAATGGCAAGGCCTTTCAAAACCACTTACCAATGAGGTTTTCAATTCATTTTCTACAATTTTTCCTCATTCTCTCTCAAACAAATAAACAAACAAAACCTGAGGGCCTTCTGACATCTCATTTTAGAATTAAAGTCTATGTAGGGGCAAACATCACTACTTAATGAAGACCAATCTACAATACTCAACACAAAATTACTTCAGTCCCTCAAAAGATTAGATGTAACCAAAGGATAAAAATTCCACCCACAGGATCAAGTGCACTTATTTTAGTTACATGAACAATTTAACAAATCCCACTTGAAAGACAAAAAACTATGTTGTACACAAAGGTACTAGAAAGGCTATTTATGCACAGACAGCTTTTTTATTTAGCATCTTCCTTTCCACTGAGGTGCTAGTTTAGCAGGATAAATTAGCTAAATATGCAGCTCTCTCAGATGGGAGGATTTTATGGTATTTTTACTAAAGTGCCCTTCTTCAAAGCCATTAGCTAAATCAGAATAACCAAGTAATAAAAAGTGTTTGCAATTCTGCAGCAACAGACATTTATGAAAGAAAAAAAAAGATGAAATGCTCTCCCAAGTGACTGAAAACCTATCTAGGAAAGAAAACAGTTTAAACAACTTTAAATAATCTTTGCCATGGAAAGGATTTTGAAGTAAATCAGGGCATCTTAAAAAGACCATTCATAACTGCTACCAGAGCAGTTTATGGGGTCCCTTCTGATTATATGAATTATTTTCTCATCATGTCACTGCCTGAACCTGGATCCCAAAGGCACTCCAGAGTTCAAACATTTCTGTGAAGTGACTTCCTTTTAGGAAAGAAGCTATAAAGCTAGTTAGAACTTTAATAGACTGAGACAGCATCTTTCGAACAATGAACCATCAAATAGGCTAAGTAATGTGCCAAGGCCACAGAGAAAGTGAGTGTCAGAGCTGGAATTAGAGCTTCTGGCTTCTAGTCCAGTCTTTGACCACATCTTTCCCCCTTATGAATAGTGTTCTGTACAAGCACACAAGAAGGATGAACATGCTTCTATATATTGACAACAGGGACTTTAATAATCTTCAGAATTCAAATGTCATTGGCGTTTAACAATTGTTGTTCATGTTATGTAAAAATAACTGCAGTGTTGATTTGGTACTCATGCCAAATATTTCTGGAAGCAGGGCTGTATTTAAAAAATAGTCTTTTAAAAGGTTCCTCCGTATATTTCAAGAGCTGGAGGCAACTCCATTTGAGATAACAATTCACTGATAAGAGAAGGACTTAAGGGTGTAGAGGGCTTTCTGAATGGTTTGAGCCAGATCGGTACACTAATTTTTTCATTCCCTGTCCCTAAAATCTGATGTAGTGATGCAAGGAAGAGATAGGCTGAGAAGAAACAAATTGTAGGGTCAGATTCTCCTACGAAACACTAGTCATTAGAATCTTGAGCACTCTCTTTAAAGAAGTACCTCTTTCTTGAAGGTAAAGACAGAATGACCACTACCATTTAGAGTTGCCAGGTGTCTGGTTTTAGACTGGAACACCTAGTTGGAAAGGGACCCTGATGGCTCTAGTCAGCACCGCCGACTGGGCCGTTAAAACAGTTGGGTCAGCGGTGCTGCGGGTCTAAGGCAGGATATTCCTACCTGTCCTGGTACTGCACTGTGCACTGGAAACGGCCAGGAGGTCTGGCTCCTAGGCGGAGGGCCATGGGGCTCCATGCACTGACCCCGCCCCAAGTACCAGCTCTGCACTCCCGCACCCTAAACCCCTCATCCCTGGCCCCATCCCCAGAGCCCTCACCTCCCCCGCATCCCAACCCCCTGTCCCAGCGCAGAGCCCCCTCCCACACCCTGAACCCCTCATCCCTGGCCCCATCCCAGAGTCCTCACCCACAGCCGGAGCCCTCACCTCCCCCACATGCTAGCCGATTGAGCCCTCTCCCGTACCCCAAACCCTCATCCCTAGCCCAACCTCCAGCCGGAGCCCTCACCTACCCCTGCACTCCAAATCCCTTGGCCCCACCCCCCCAGCCTGGAGTTCCCTCCAGCACCCCAAATCCCTCACCCCCTCCTGTGCCCTAACTCCCTGCCCCAGCCCAGAGCCCCCTCCCACACCGTGAACCCCTCATTTCTGGCCCCAACCCAGAGCCCTCACCCCTCCCGCACCCCTACTCCATGCCCCAGGCCAGTGAAAGTGAGTGAGGGTGTGGGAGAGCAAGCCACCAAGGGAGGAGGAATGTAGTGAGTGGGGGGCAGGGCCTTGGGGAAGGGGTGGGGCTAGGGTATTTGGTTTTGTGCAATTAGAAAATTGACAACACTACCACCATTGTGGGTCTCTTTTGAATCCAAGGAAACAGAGGAAACTAACAGTACCTGCCTACTTAGTATGGGAAGATACCACCTTGAATCTTGTAAACAAATCTAGGATAGCACAGCACTCCTAATTTATAGTCTCACACAGCCCCACTTGGTAGCAGAAATGCAGTACTGCAGTCTCTTGAAGAAACATGTTATTTGTTTACTCTATTTTTCTTCTTGGTTTTGCTTGCATTCTTTTCTCTTCATAAATGGATGATGCCGGTATCCTCTTGCTTCCCCTTGAATCTCCTTTCACCAGCAGGAATATTGTTTTGGTGGAGTTTTAGAAATAAACAAAACGAAAAAGCTTTAAGGAAGCAAAGCGCGGATAGGTGGGTGGACCATCTGGATTAAATCAAAAGATCAGGTGCCTTTAAAACTGACTTCCAGGGCCTTAGCTGTCAGATGCTGTTAAGACACTGTGTAGGTTAAGTAGTATGTTTGTTAAGAGATAATAACTGATGTTGTTGTAATATTTGAACTCCTGGGAGTGTGGTGGCTTAACCCACTTTTTAACATAACTGAAAAATATTATTTTAGGGAAACATAGCAGCCTAATCAATCTCTTCTCCCCTGACCCCCTCAGAGCCTGCATGAGTCTACACCCCACAGTTCTCACACTACAGCTGTCCTCTGACATTCCACTGCTTTTTTTGTAATATTGTCAAGATCTCCAGACAAGTTCTCTCACTATCCATCAGTTTAACAGTGCATGTCATTTTTCCCCAGTAGAGGAGAGGTAAAGAGAGGGGGAAAGGGCAGCAGATGCTAATTATTGAGCTTTACTAAGAGAGGCATAGTTTAGTAGTCTGAACGCAAGACTGAGAACCAGGATTCTCTAAAATCTAATCCCAGCTCTTTTAGTGACACCCCCTCGCCCCCGGGCTTTGGGCAAGTCACTTATGACAAAAATTTCAAACTCAGTTTGTATAGTATATTCTGAAAGATACATTAAAACCTCATGAAACTTATTAAAAAAAAACCAAAGCAATGAAGTGCTGAACTGATTTTTCCAGAGTTTAAACCTTTGATTCTATGAAGTCAGATATTTTGAAGCCTATGCTAAAACATCCCCTATACCATAGCCAAAATATGTTGAAGGAAAAGAAAGGAAAACACTCAAAGGTTGTTATCAGGCTTCTGCTGTCTGTTTTAATTCACTGGTTCACTTTTTATTGTACTTCTCTAGGGCAGAACTATTCTACAGACTTAAAAAGCCAAAAAAATAACCTCATCATTTCCAGCGTTTTATTTTTACCTTTGAACAGATCTGCATTTCTTTGTGGAAGTTTGTTTGACACTGGAACTTTCTTTCCCACTTCGGTTGTTCAGAGCACAGACATGAACAAGAATTG